CAAAGCAAGTGGGGTTTTTATATATCTGTGGAATGTCCAGGGTGGAAAAAAGAACTCTTGTCTGCTTGAGGCAAGTGTGAATGTTGCAACTGATCACCTTGATTAGCATAATAATAATAATAATAATAATAATAATAATAATAATAATAACAACTTTATTTTTATACCCCACCTCCATCTCCCCGAAGGGACTCTGGGCGGCTTACATGGGGCCAAGCCCAGTAACACAGAGTTAAAATATAGCATATAAACTATAACAGTAATATAAAACATAAAAACAACATTATACCAATAATAGAACAATAAAACAACCACTGTAAGCAACAACCAAGGACATACTTCAAGTCTCATTATGGGAGGCGGGCTGGAGTGCAAACAGGTTAGAAAAAAGGCTAACCAGAAAAGTGCATAGAATAGCCTTGCAGCTTCAAGGCTTGGCTGTTCCCTGCCTGGGGGAATAATTTGTTGGGAAGTGATTAGCTGGCCCTGATTGTTTCTTGTCTGGAATTCCCCTGTTTTTGAGGTCCCTTCCACACAGCTGAGTAAAATCCCAGATTATCTGCTTTGAACTGGAATATATGGCAGTGTGGACTCAGATTTCCCAGTTCAACACAGATATTGTGGGATTTTTCTGCCTTGATATTCTGGGTTACATGGCTGTGTGGAAGGGCCCAGAGTATTGTTTTTTATTTACTGTCCTTATTTTAGAGGTTTTTTTAAAAAATACTGGTAGCCAGATTTTGTTCATCTTCGTGGTTTCCTCCTTTCTGTTGAAATTGTCTACATGCTTGTGGATTTCAATGACTTCTTTGTGTAGTCTGACATGGTAGTTGTTAGAGTGGTCCAGCATTGATGCACTCTCAAATAATATGCTGTGTCCAGGTTGGTTTATCAAGTGCGCTGCTATGGCTGACTTCTCTGGTTGAATTAGTCTGCATTGCCTTTCGTGTTCCTTGATTCGTGTTTGGGCAATGCTGTGTTTGGTGGTCCCTTTGTAGACTTGTCCACAGCTGCATGGCCTACAGTAGACTTCTGCAGGGATGAGTCTTCTTTCTCCCACCCTGGACATTCTGCAGATGTATAAACTCCACTTGACTTGATTCCAACAAACCTCACAATCTCTGAGGATGCCTGCCATAGATGTGGGTGAAACATCAGGAGAGAATGCTTTTGGAACATGGCCATACGGCCCTGAAAACTCACAGCAACTGAGGTGGTTTCCAGCAGCTTCCCAGTGCCCTAAACCCTTTGCTTTGGGTATCACTGGATTGAAAAGGTAGTCTTTTAGGACCACATTGATTGTTAAGAATCATTACCATAAATTCAAAAAGTTATAAGGTTGTAAATCTGATTTATGAGCCTATAACTACTTAACATTATGTCAGCCAAAGGGCAAACGTTTGTGCAACTGTGCTTAAATGAAAGGGTATTTTAGTTCAGTTTGGATGGCTTGGGAACTAATGGAGCTGACAGGTGTAATATTGTACAGTTAAATTGCCCAGCTCCAGTTAATCATCTGGCTGCACTATTCTGAACGACAGCCAATTTCCAAACCAGTGACGGAGGCAACCACAGTATAATGGATTGCAGTCATCTAAATGGGAGTGGGACTGGGGAAGGGGGAGGAACAAGGCACAAGTAATTATAGACAATCTACCTCCACCTAGGAGTGGTTGTATAGCTCACTTATCACCTGAAGTCAATAAAAAAGCACTTTGAAGCTCGGAGATTACTTAAAAGTCAGTCCCATACTATACCCATGGACTAGTTTAGTACAGCCACATCTTCACCTACCATGAAGTTTCATGTAGTTATTAACTAGCATTGGAGAAGAGCTCTTAATATTATGGTTATGGCCTGCAAATACCCATTAAAGTGACAGCAATTCCAGGACATGGCAGAGAGGCATTGCAAAGACCAGAAGGCCCTTCCACACAGCCCTATATCCCAGAATATCAAGGCAGGAGAGTGATCCCTGGAAGCTTCTGGGCAGTGTTCAAAGAATCTCACAATATCTGCTTGGAACTGGGTTATCTGAGTCCACACTCAGATAATGTGGGATTTTCTGCCTTGATATTCTGGGATATAGGGCTGTGTAGAAGGGATAAAGAGTGACTAAAAAGTCAATGTCAGTCATGCACAGACTCAGCAAAGGAAGCATGTAAAGACTATCCGAAAGGAAGGTCTAAGAGGCAGAACTCCACATACCATTTGGGTAAGTCACGTGAGGGAAAAACCAAAGAACTAGCCCATTATGAAGGCTTGGGCAGATACCAGCAGACCCAAAGGTCTATCTAGAGTGCAATGAGATCAAGAAAAGCCAAACATGGATGGACTGTTTCACACATCTCCTGTTAGCCAGTCTTGTTCAATGAAGAATATTTATTTTATTTGCTTTATTTCTATACCGCATTTTTCAGCCCAGTCAGGTGAGCACCTTTCAAACTTCATAAATAAAAAGGTGGGTGCTCATTTAGTCAAATATTTTTAAGCGACATTCAGTTTCAGAGATGCATTTTTGAGACAATCCACAAGGAAGATTTGAATTTAGAACCTCTAATATAAAGGGTTTTGTGAAGACAGGGCAGAAAACTGCAATAACATTTAGGATGATTGTATTAGATATGTGTCTGACCAATCTCAAAGAAACCATTGAAATGTTGTCATTCCTGACTACCCGTGTTCAAACATAAACATCCAGGGATGATAGTCTTGTGTTCTCTTTGCTTAATGGTCCATTTCTTTGGCAAGTATATTATTCCAGAAACATCTGCACTTATTACGAATATAACTAATATTGTATTGTCCTTGCTAATGTATTAAATGGAATTATGTTTGTGTTTGTTAGTGCAGCCCCTGAGGAAGAGCAAATCTGGTAGTGGGCAAAAACCAAATTTATTTATTTATTTACTGTATTTGTATACCGCCTTCCTCAGCCTGCAGGCGACTCAAAGCGGTTTACAAGGCAACAATTCGATGTTCACAATACCATAAATATAATTGAAAACATTAATATATAATATAAAACCACAACAGAATCAATACAAACATAAATCATTAGCATCTCCTTGTTAAAACATTGTCCAGTCCCATCACCTAGTAATTCCATTTTCCTGCGTCAGTTACTCTCCATTTGCAAACGCTTGCTCAAAAAGCCACATCTTGACTTTTTTCCAAAATGTTAAAAGGGAGGGGGCCTATCTGATATCCCTAGGGAGGACGTTCCATTGCCGAGGGGCCACCACTGAGAAGGCCCTGTCTCTCAACCCCACCAGGCATACTTGTGACAAAGGCGGACTCAAGAGCAGGGCCTCCCCAGATGATCTTAAGGTCCTAGATGGTTTATAAGGGGAGATGCATTTGGACAGGTAGGTTGAGCCAGAACTGCTTAGGGTTTAATAGGCTAAAGCCAGCACTTTGAATTGTGCCCAGCAGCAAATTGGCAGCCAGTGGAGTTGGCACAACAGAGGAGTTGTATGCTCCCTGAGCGCTGCTCCTGTTAGCAATCTGGCTGCTCTCCGTTGGACCATTTGAAGCTTCTGGGCAGTGTTCAAAGGCAACCCTATGTAGAGAGCATTGCAGTAGTCTATATGGGATGTAACCAGAGCGTGGACTACCGTGGCCAGGCCAGACTTCCCAAGGTACAAGCGCAGCTGGCACACACGTTTTAGCTGTGCAAATGCTCCCCTGGTCACCACCGAAACCTGAGGTTCCAGGCTCAGTGATGAGTCCAGGATCACGCCCAAGGTGTGAACCTGTGTCTTGGGTGTGATCCTGGACTCATCGCTGAGCCTGGAACCTCAGGTTTCAGCGGTGACCAGGGGAGCATTTGCACAGTTAAAACATGTGCGCCAATTGCGCCAGTTGCGCCCGTACAAATAAAGCAAGTGACAATCTATCATCATGTGGGTTTTATCTCCTTATTTGTTTCAGCTTCTCATACATGCTCATTAGTGTTCTCCTTTGCAAAGTATTATTTAGATGTTTCTAACTCTTTCACAGAGCAGAGTTCCCAATTCACCAGTATCCCATTTCCTGAGGATTCAGGGTCCAAAGCTAAGGTATGGGATTGGGTCCTTGCAATCTCATAGAGCAGTGGTTCCCAACCTTTTTTTGACCAGAGACTACTTGACCAGAGACCATTTTGACCAGGGATCACTCTCCAACATTGGTACCAAAAGGGTTACGAATTAGTTTTTGGTCAACTTTAGATTTGGTTTGGTTATTTAAATTATATTTCCATGAGCAGTGTATGAAAAGGGAAATAGCTGCTCTATCAGAGGTGCAAAACCTGGATGTATTCTTGAAGGACAGTCTCAGCTTCACAGGGCTTTCCTTGTGGTTTGAGCAGGAGCCGTTTAGCAGGCGAATCTTTTCCCGATGTAGGGATAAGAGAAACGGATCACTGGGTTGTTGTAGGTTTTTTGGGCTATATGGCCATGTTCTAGAGGCATTCTCTTCTGACGTTTCACCTGTGTCTATGACAAGCATCCTCAGAAGTTGTGAGGTTGTGAGATTCCAGCCATGAAAGCCTTCAACAATACAGAGAAAAGGATTGTTTCACTTACAGTTTGATTTCTGTCTGATTATTTATTTTGGTGAAAATCCATCCAAGGCTAAGCCCTGGAAGTTCCATTGACTCAACCAGTTCCCATCCTTGGAAAAGAATGTTTAGCTTTAGCTGCTTCATGCTCTATTTAAAAATCTATCTTTATTTCAACAGTTGAGGGTGTGTGTTTATGCATGCATTTACTTGTTCATTTCATTTGCACCTCATCCACAGGATGCACCCCTGAGTTTTCAGATGCTTACATATTCACTGATCATGTAGATGATAACTCCCTTTGACATGTGATATTTCACTGATACTTATGTAAAATGCTTCTACGCTCCAGAGAATATTAATAAGGAATCATTGGAACAATCCCAATATTTGTTGTTGCTCTTGGCATTCTGAAGCTGAGCTGTGGTAACAACTCCTTCGCTGTTTATTCTTCCAGGTGGATGGATTTCTGACACTACTGTTTGGTCTTGCAAGCATTAATACACTGACAGTGATTAGTGTGACCCGGTATATAAAAGGATGCCATCCTGACCGAGGTAAGATGTTTTGGAGAACACAAACTTCAAGCTCTCTTTCTGTTAGGGTCTAATATCTCTCTCACAGCCACAGAATAACAACCAGAATAACAACCTATATTTCTAATAGCCTTTTAAACTGAAATATGTTTGGTTTTCAAGAAATTGTGGTATTTACCATATATACCCGAGTATAAGCTGACCCGAATATAATCCGAGGCACCAAATTTTACCACAAAAAACTGGGAAAACTTATTGACTTGACTATAAGCCAAGGGTGGGAAATTGAGCAGCTACTAGTAAATTTCAAAACAAAAATAGATACCAATAAATTTCCATTAATTGTGGCATCAGTAGGTTAAATGTTTTTGAATATTTCCATAAAACTAATTTAAGATAAGACTGTCCAACTCTGATTAAACCATTATTCTAACCTTCTTCAATGTAAATGTGCTTATGTATCATTGCGATAATAATAGAAAGTAAAGTAATAAATGTAATAATAATAATAATAAAAATAATAATAGAGTAAAATAATGCAAATGTAATCATAACAGTAATAATAGAGTAAAATAATAAATGTAATAATAACAATAATAAATGGAATAAACTAATAAATGTAATAATAATAGAGTAAAATAATGTAAATGTAATAATAATAATAAGAAATAGAATAAAAATAATAAATGTAATAAAAATAATAATAACAAAGTAAAATAATAAATAACATTGACTCAAATATAAGCCAAGGGGGCCTTTTCAGTCTAAAAAGAGGGCTAAAAACTCAGCTTATATTTGAGTATATAGCGCAATTGAGCAAATGGACTCCTGGTCCTCTAACTTTCTCAGGCCTTTACCACATCAGTCTTTCATGTCACATTAGTGAGTGAGGGAGTGAGTTCCAGAGTTGAGGGGCCATCACCGAAAAGGCCCTCTCTCATCCCCACCAACCGCACCTGCGATGCTGGTGGGATCGAGAGCAGGGCCTCCCCAGAGTTTGGGGAGTTCTCCATACTTCCTCATGAGGGTAGCTGCTTGTTGACTCTCTATCACATCCTTGTAGCAATTTTACTACAAAAATTGCCTATGCAATTTTACCACAATTGCATAGGCAATTGTGGTAGTCATTAATGGCATCATTACTGATTATACCCTCCTGTTGCTTCATGATTATTTATTCTCATTGTGACAGCAGAATGGTAAGGCACACTGTGATCACAATGTAACACCAAACAAACAAACAAACAACATATCATTGTGGTGTGGTAATGCTCTCCATTTTCTTATGTGTCTTCATGGTGCAAATACAATGGTATATCTTCATCATCTAACTTTGGAACATTCTAAGTGCCATTCTCTCCTGATGTGTGTTCTAGGACAGTGTATCAGCAATAGCAGCATCTCTGTGGCCCTTTGTCTGATATGGATTGCAGCTTTCTTCTGGTCGGTGGCTCCAGTCCTGGGATGGGGCAGTTATACAGGTAAGAGAGTTTTCTCTCAGCTTGAACTAGGTATTTATGGGAATGTGGCCTAAACAGTTTTGGCCCAGCTTACCTGTCTGAACGGATCTCTCTATGTGAAATGGAGGATATTACCAACATCATTAAGTTGCCTCATCACTGGTCCCTGCATTCAACAGAGAGACATCTCCTCTTGGAATTTGCTAGGTCCTCCAATGCAAAACTGTCAATTTCTGTGAGAGGCAAACCATAGAAGTATCCGTAGAATCTAGAAAATGCCTAGAAAGGCAATTTTTCCACAGGCGCTGCTAAGGTCTTACTGCATTCAAAGATTTGAAGGGTAAAATAATCCGATTAACTTCACTGAATGCAATGGGATTATTTCAAAATAGATGTGTGTAAGATTGCACTGTTGCTATAAAAATAGCCCTCATATCTTCATCAAGTACTCAATTTAATTTTGATTGGTCAAAATTTTTAGCTTCATAATAGAGGAACTATAGAACCTTTCCAGTGAATTGTGGAGATGTGTATCGTGGCATCAATGAGAGTTTGCCAGTGTCATTGGGTTCTATTGATCAGCACCTTATTGTTCTGCAATAGGATTGCTAGTTGAGCATTAGCACCTATTACAATCCAGGACTGATGTGATGCACATCAGGAGCCCCGGTGGTGCAGTCAGTTAAACCCCTCTGCCGGCAGGACTGAAGACCGACAAGTCTGAGGTTCGAATCCAGGGAGAGCATGGATGAGCTCCGTCTATCAGCTTCAGCTCTCCATGCGGGGAAATGAGAGAAGCCTCCCATAAGGGTGGTAAAACATCAAAACATCTGGGCATCCCCAGGGCAACTTCTCGCATAATATTCTCACACCAGAAGTGACTTGCAGTTTCTCAAGTCGCTCCTGACATGACAAAAAAAGTTGTGCCTTGAAAATGAGGCCAATTGATCACTTCACAGCCTCCCCTCCTCATGTAGTTATGTTACAGCAGGACCTTGTTGAAAACAGATGATGTGAAACTGCAGACTTAGTCCATTTATATAGACTAGATCCTATTCAATCAGCCCTCCAGGTTTGACCTTTGCAGATTTAAATATGTATGAATTTGATATTATGTTTTCTCTAAGAATTTCCAGATCCTCCAGCAAAACTCTATGGTCAACTTCTGGCCATAGAGCTGTACCGGGGGGGGGGGGGGGGCAGATTCCCAGAGTGAACACATTTGTAGGTTGTCAAGCAGCTGAAGTTAACATAGAATTGTTTTGGAGGAACTAGAGATTTCTGGGTAACATGCAAGACTATCTTCACTCAAAGATGCTGCAAACATAAGGGCCAGGATTAGGCATAATCCCCTTCTGCTAGCAGGAATTTCCTCCTGCTGTCAGAGTCATTTTTTTGCTCACTGATCTGACAGCTCTGCTGAAAGAGTAATCTGTTAGCAGAACTGTGCAGATGGTAGAACTGCTGAAAAGAGAGAAAAGAAGGGCAAGGGAAGAAAAAAGTTGGTTTATGTCAAATCCAATTCTGGCACCAAGACAAAGTAAGGATAGTCCTAAACTGGGGGAGTCAGTCTAGCATCAGCGAACCTACTATTGGTTCATCTGTTTCTTAGCCATCTTCGCTAGACAGAATTGCACTCTGGATAGTTGGGTTTTAGGTAATGAGGGTTTTTAAAGAAATCCTAGAGCAGCAAAACTGTTGCCCTCTGGAACAAAATAAACTAGACAATGAGGTCACATATGCCATGCAAATGCAAAAGTAACTAAAATAATAATATAATAATAACTTTATTCTTATATCCCGCCACCATCTCCCCAAAGAGATTCGGGGCAGCTTACACAAGGCACAAAATGCCTAAAACAACACATGACATAAAACAAATGCAATTGAATAAAACATATGAACATGTAACAACAAGATAAAACTCAGAACGAATCAGTGCACATCTGTCAGTAGTGATAGCTAATGCAAACTTGGCCAGACTGTAAACACTAGGGCCAGGGAATGGGGAAAGTACAGAGCTGTAACCATGGGATTTTTTTTTTTTTTTGGGGGTCATGAGTGACTTGATAAACTGCAAGTCTCTTCTGGTGTGAGAGAATTGGCCGTCTGCAAGGACGTTGTCCAGGGAACGCCCAGATGTTTTGATGTTTTGCCATCCTTATGGGAGGCTCCTCTCATGTCCCCACATGGGGAGCCGGAGCTGACAGAGGGAACTCATCTGTGCTTTCCCCAGATTCAAATCTGCAACCTGTTGGTCTTCAGTCCTGCCAGCACACGGGTTTAACCCATTGTGCCACCAGGGGCTCCCATGGGATAAGGGTGTGGGATAAAGTGCAAGGCTGCATAACACATTGATACATCAATTAAAATAGAGTATTGCAACAGAATATATAAAGTTATCTCTTGTTGCATTGCAACCTTAATGCAAGTTATTTATGTTTCAGTTATTACAAAAAAGTAATTACTTGTAACACATTATTTGTAATGAGTTACTTCCATACTGTGATACTAATGTGTCTGCAAGTGCTACTTTGTTATTTATTGTGACCAGATGAGTTGCCATTTCTATCTTGATCAAAGCAGAGAATAGGCTTCTGCAAAGAAAGAAACTGAATCAAACCAAGATGATAGTAAAAATGCCATTGCCCTTTCCACACACAAATTTAAAATCCTAATGAGAAGCCTCCCTGAAATTGTTTTAAAACTGCAAAAATATAGCAATCTGCTTTTTAAAAACAAAAATTAATTGATGGCTAAATTCCTTTGCTTTGTAGATCGCATGTATGGAACTTGTGAAATCGACTGGGCAAAAGCCAACTTCTCAACAATCTACAAGTCTTACATTGTGTCCATATTCATCTGCTGTTTTTTCCTACCTGTATCTGTCATGGTTTTTTCCTATGTATCCATCATTAATACAGTCAAGTCAAGCCACGCTCTAAGTGGAGTGGGTGATCCAACAGAGAGGCAGAGGCGTATGGAACGAAGTGTCACAAGGGTCAGTCTGGACTTCTTTTGAGGGTGTCTTCCAGGATTTGGGGAAGGCAGCACCGAACATCATGGAATGTAGCAGGGGATGCAAAACAACCACTCAAATTCTGTAGTGGCTGCCAAGTCATCATAATAAAACATGTTCTTCCCTTACTGAGAAATCAAAGGGAAGGATGGGAGATGGCTTACTATGTTTTTATATGGTGTCTACAACTTCCAATTTCCAGGGGACTTTGAAACCCACAAAAGTGGGGTCTAAAGGCAATGTACAATCCACAGCTCACGCTCCTGACCCTGTGCTTACATAGGGGTTACTGCAATAGCAGAGATAGCATGGTGAGGGGGTAGAAGCAACTCTTTTACTTTTGAGTCTAAGTCACAGTGGCAAGGTGGACGTAAGTCAAAACACACACACACAAAAGAGACAAATTGTGAGTTGAGAAAAGAAGATGCGAGAGAACAACATAACATTCCATCGGATTATCAGCAGCAGGCTTAAACTATCTCCGATTGAGTTTAATTGACCTATAGTTATGGGACCCAAAAGGATAGGAGGTAAGCACTAGCTAGATGGTACCAGGGGATCCCCTCCTCTCCAGAAACATTTTATTTCCCCATTGATTTTTCTTCAGTCCTCAAGTTTTTAGCATCACAGTGATCAAACATTGAAAGTCATCAGCACCTAGAACATTTATACATTCCTGCCATTTTCTTTGAATGCCTAAGCTGTATTTCTAAATGTTCCACTGACGTTTTGAGTTACTTCAGTGCAAGAAATTAGAAAACAGAAGGAAAATATAATGGGGCAGAATTTTTGTTTGGGGGCAATGCCCTCATGTTGCCCTCCTAGAGCTACATCTCTGAATGGCACCCAGAAATTTGTCCTCCCCTACATCAGTGGTTTGCAACCTGTGGGTCCCCAGATGTTTTTGCCCACAACTCCAAGAAATCCAAGCCAGTTTACCAACTATTAGAATTTCTGGGAGTTGAAGGCCAAAACATCTGGGGACCCACAGATTGAGAACCACTGCCCTACAGTTTTCCTCCTGATCCAACTGCCAAAGCTCTTACAAAATGGAGAGTGAGGAAAAGATCCCACCTATTCAAGAAGAGAAAGCGATGTAATTCTTCAAAAGGAAAGCAGGAGTCCTTTTTCAAATAGACAATCAGTGGGATTTCTCCCTCTGAATCTGACTTCCTAGGTCCAGTTCAATTATTAAGTAGAGTAAATAAAGAAAATGGCTGGATGGCTTTGTTTTTTGCTGCAGTTTTACTGCCAGGGCAAATGAGAAGTGCTTGAACCCCATATGTTATATACCATGATCTTGATTGTTATATGTGGAGGCAGGTACCATATGCTGCTCTTCTTCAGGCAGCAAACTGTCTTGGATCAGCTCTGTGGTCCCTGCCCATGCAGCCACAATTATTCCTCACATGTTTCTTGTTTGAGTTCAAACTTCCATATCTGAAGCATTGTTTCAGATTTTCATGCCCAACATAGTCAATGCAGTCTGCTGCAAAGAGTAATGAGTAAAGAGTAATCGAATAACAACAGAATTTGTAGGAGGCATTGGCTCCAATGGCACAGCTGCCGAATGTGTGCTTTCATGTACATCAGAAAATCTCACCAGCCAGTTCTCTGCCCCATAGATTGGCATCATGGTATAGATATGTTGAAAAGAAGCCTCCATGTCAGGGCAGCAAATAAGCCATCTAGGTTGCAACCCATAGTATTCAATAGGGGATATTTGCCTTAAAGCCTCTGGTTGCTGATCTCTAATATAATATGTTGGCAATGTTTAGCTTGTCTATAATGACATATTAGTTGAGAGATAGAGAATTCATAAGGGTTGAAATCCATAATTGATTTTATCAGTAGATCAATAAGTAATTTGTAAATATTGTCCAATTCTTCTAATTTCCAACTCTGATTTTTCTTTGCAACTGTTGAGTATTAAAATGGAAACAAAGAAGCCTCACACCTTAATTTTTTTCATCTCATCCAGGTTTCCATCGTGATCTGCACTGCCTTTATCACGGCCTGGTCCCCGTATGCTGTCATTTCCATGTGGTCTGCCTATGGTTACGCTGTGCCCAATTTAACTAGCATCCTTGCCAGCCTTTTTGCGAAGTCTGCCAGCTTTTACAATCCCATCATTTACTTTGGAATGAGCTCCAAATTCCGAAGGGACATCTTTGTCTTGCTCCACTGTGCCAAAGAGATCAAGGATCCTGTGAAGCTCAAACGGTTCAAGAACCTCAAGCAGAAACAGGAAGTTTCACCTTCTCAAAGAGAAGAAAAATACGCTGCAGATGTCCAGCCTGCTCTAAGCCCTGATTCTGGGGTAGGGAGTCGTTCAAACACTCCTCCTCCAGTAAACAGGGAAGTGTATTTCGGTGCTTTTGATAACTTTTCCAACAATCCTGATGTTGAATGTGATAGACTGTGAGCGCACTCTCTTCTCATATGGTCCACCCAGGGAATACATCCAATAGAACATGCTTGCCTCCTCCAGTTGAGGTCCCCTACATGTGTGTTGGGCTACAGTAGCCATCAACCCACACCAATCAGTGTCTGGGTGATGGGAATTGTAGTACAACACATCTGGAGATCCTCTAGCTGGAGTACTGATTGGCCAAAAATTACCTTTCATCTCTATCTCTTCCATAGGTATGAATATGACATACACTAGTTTGTCTGGAAATGGAAAAAAAACACATGTGCAGAGTATGTAGGAGGGTTATAAAATTGCTATGTAGACGATTAAACCTGAAGGAGGGTGGAATACCTTGTATGCATAGGGATTCATTTTCCCCTTTCCAGCTGCAAGCCTGAAAGACTTTTGTAGAAAATCCACCTGTTGGCATGTAAAAGAAATTACTAATTTTTTCCCTATCTAATAATATAATTTGAAGTTATATATTTTTCTACAATTTCTATTCCTCACCCAGAATTCTGACTTCACTCAGTTTTCTCTCAGCTCTCAAACAGTGTATTTAGTAGTCATGTGTATTCGGGACTTAGCTTCATCCGTTTTGTGTCCCAACTTTCAATGGGCCCCCCGATCTGTTTCATCTGAGCCTCCTGAAATCGAGAGGTCAAATATTTGTTTTTTTGTTTTCGGGGCTGAAAGATCCATTTGGCCCTTTATTGGGGGGGGGGGGGGGGTGTCCGGGCCTATGGGTGCAGAATTTGGGCCTCTGCACATGGGCCTGGCATGGCCTGTAGCCGAGCACCGAGCAAGGAACACTCCTTACTTGGCGCTTGGGTGCAGGCCCTGCCAGGCCCACGTGCGTAGACCTAAAGCCTATACCCATACTCCCCGACACTTTGGTCCAACAGGTGCAGGCTTTGGGACTACGTGCCCAGGCCTAGCAGGGCCTGCAGCTGAGTGCTGAGTAAGGAACACTCCTTACTTGGCGCTCAGCTGAAAGCCCTGCCAGGCCCCAGGCAATTGATCAGAAAAGCAAGCTTGGAGCCGGTACCTGGTTCTGGCTGCCTTTCATTTTGAGTCTATTTTCGTTCCAGGATGGGCCTTCCCATTTTGTGTCATCCGAATGGATGGAATGAAACAGAAACACAAATCAAATGGCTGGGACAAATTTCAGGCCCATGATTAGTATATAGTCAAGGGACAATTAGTTGGAAAAGCAAGTTTTTCCCCAATAACACAGGGATGCTGCTTCACATTCAGCCAGCAGAGGGTGGGCAGTAATAAAGGTACAGCCTTGATGCTCCTTATTCCTTCTGGCATTCTTCTTTATGCCTTCTGGCATCCCGTTTTTTTGCTCTTGAAGAAAAATCAAAAGGATACTTTCCTTTTGTTGTTGCTGTTGTGTGCCTTCAAGTCATTTCCGACTTAGGGCAATTCTAAGATAAATTTATCACAAGGTTTTCTTGGCAAGATTTGTTCAGAGGGGGTTTGTCCTTACTTGCTCAAGATCTCCTAGTGCAGGCATAGATAAACCGGCCCTCCAGGTGTTTTGGAATTCAACTCCCACAATTCCTAACAGCCAGTAGGCTGTTAGGAATTGTGTGAGTTGAAGTCCAAAACACCTGGAGGGCTGAAGTTTGCCCATGCCTGTCCTAGTGCCGTTCAGCAGTGGAACTCTCTGCCCCGGAGTGTGGTGGAGGCTCCTTCTTTGGAAGCTTTTAAACAGAGGCTGGATGGCCATCTGTCAGGGGTGATTTGAATACAATATTCCTGCTTCTTGGCAGGGGGTTGGACTGGATGGCCCATGAGGTCTCTTCCAACTCTTTGATTCTATGATTCTAGTGGGTTTCCATGGCCAAGCCGGGGTTTGAACCCTGGTCTCCACAAAGTTGTAGTCCTAGGCTGAAACCATTATGCCACACTGGCTTCTTCCTTTACCATGCTAATTTTTAAAACAGGGATTGAAATGGCAGATACAGGCAAGCAAAAGGAATTCCTGCTCTGATTGAAGAAATTGATTCATAGCAAACCGTGATGGGGGGAATGATTTATTTTTACACTTTCTTTTGCCAAGCAGGGCAAGGCCATAATATTCCTAGTTATGAGTGTCTGGGTCTTATATAATTCATCTATTTAGCTTGGGCCATCCCCAGAAAATGTGTTGCATGAGGCAAAGGACAAAATGGAAAAACACACATACAGCTGAATCTTACTTGAAGGTTAGCGTAGGGGACATAGTAGATATTGCTCTCCAAAATAGGAAAATGAACAAAGAGCTCAAAAGAAAGAGCTGGAGGTGGGCAGCATTTACCCCCAGAGGCACTTACCTCACTCTGCCCAATAGTAGGGCTGATCTTGCATTCATCTAAAAGGAAAGCATTACTCATGTTGGGTGGGGAAGTAACCAAAACATAGAGATGGAGCTCTAAAAAATGGTCATTCTGGCTGATGGATAATAGGAGTTGTAGTACAAAAAAACTTACATTTTTTCCAAGTTCTACAAGTGGTGCTAAGACTAGTAGGAACAACTACTATAGTTGGCCAGCAATAATACCCAACTTCTTTGAAGCACATATTTTTCTGGTACTTTCCCTTCTTTCTGAAAACTCTTCTAAGCCAAAGAATCTTAGCCAAGTCCCAAGGAACAAAAAGTATGTCCCTGCAATATACATAGAGAGAGAGAAAAGAAATATTTCAGTGTTTTACATTGCCTGCTCCATTTAGAGAATTCATACAAAGCTTCCATAATATCACAGTATAAATCAGGTATGAGAAAACCCAGTCCCAGGTGCCGGATGCAGCCCCTTGGACTCTTTTCTCAGCCCCTCTTCTCACACCAACCTATCCTTCCTTCCTTCTCTCTTTTCTCCCTCCCTCTTTCTCTCTTCCTCCTTCCTTCCCTCTTTTCTCCCTCCTTCCCTGTCTCTCTTTCTCCCTCCTTCCTTTCTTCCCTTTTGTCTTTCCTCTCTCCCTCCATTCCCTTCCACCTTTTCTTCCTTCCTTCCATCCATCCTTCTCTTCCTTCCTTTTCTTTTTCCTTCCGCTTTTCCTCCTGGGAGGATGTTTAGCTGGGAGAAGAGAAGGTAGAGAGGGAACATGAGAACTATGTTTCAAAATTTAATGGGATGTCCCATTGAGGATGGGGGAGGAGGGCAGGTTTTCAGCTGTTCTAGAGAGCGGGGCACAAGGGAGCAATGGGTTCAAATGGCAGAGAAAGTGATTTGACTGAAAAGACTAGGAAGAACTGTTGGAACTCCTACCACTGTGTAGGATGCCTCAGAGTGTGGTGGAGCCTTCTGGAGACTTTTCTGCAGAGGCTGTTTATCAGGAGTGCTTTGATTGTGCCTTCCTGCATGGCAGGGGGGTTGGACTGGATGGCCCTTGAGGGTCTCTTCCATTTCTCGGATTCTAGGCAATACGGGGTCTAATGGATACACTTTTTCTCTCCTGTCCACCATCTCATCCTAACCAAGACCATCCTTTTTAGGATCCAAACTTTTCCTGTCTTTCCTTCACTTTCTGCCTCTGAAAGAGAAGAGGAAGGGGTGAAAAGGGCTGGGAGGGGACTTGGGGAGAACCTCCTCTCTTCTGGCCCACCCACCCTTCTCTGGCCCATCATGCAGCCCTCAAGTTATAAAGTTTGTCCATGCCTGGTATAAATGAAGGGGTATATCTGAAAAAGATATGCTCTCTGAAATACAGTAGGCCCAGTATTTGCAGGATCAGTATCTGTGATTTCATTTATCTATGCTGTACAAAATATCTCCTACTCTAGACATTTTCTAAGTCTTTTAGCACAATTCTACAGTATCCTTCAACCAGAAGGCCTTCATTTCAATAGGGGTCACTATTTTCTGAGATTTGGCGTTTCCATGTGAAGTCTGGGAACATATATCCTTCAGATACATGGCTTGTACTGTATTGTTTGCATGGAAATATGTATCCAAGGACTGACATTTTTGCCTTTGGCTATTAATTGAGGGGTGGTGGGGAGGGGGGGGGGGAAGTTGCTAACATTTTTGTAAACCTGTGGAATTTTACAGTCTCCAAAGAGGGAGGGGGCAGGGAGGCAGGCTAATCCGTTTTTGCAAAATTAACCTTTTTCGATTTGTATTTGTTGGGATGGTTACAAAAAAAACCCACCTTCTTTTCCTCCCTTGGCATATTTGTTCTGAGATTATCATCTCTAATTTCAATTTTAAACAAATAAACTTTCTAAGCAATAAGAAAGAGAACTACTGATTTCTTTCATTTATAGCTATAGACAGACTGGAAGCATATTTAGTTTTTGGCGGAAAATGTCCCTGTCTCTGCGTGTGCATGTATGTAATGTAAGTTTCTGTATTTCTTGGCCTTAATTACCATGACTAATGAAAAACTAATAGATAGCATGTTTCTTCCTAGTTGGAGCTGGCCATGATTGTATCAAGAGCTAATGGAACCCATACTGGCAGCAACAGCCAACTCTTGTCCTTCACCGAAGTAAGATCTCAACAAGGAGATTCTAGTAGCAATGATGTTTGGTGTCTCCTATGCTTGTGGAATAGTGAATCCATTTCAGGTTTAGCCTGAATTTTAAAGGGAGTTATTGTGCTTGGAGGAACAGAGTCCAGCACCATGGAAAGTTGAGACAAGATTGTTCATATAGTCTGGACTAAATTGTACAAGTACTTTGAATTTCCTGTAGAAATGAGCTGGTGGCCAGTAAAGCTGTTTCAACAGGAGTGTTATGTGTTCTCTGTAACTGGCCCCGACAGCATTCTGACCCACTGACATTTACAAACAGTTTCCAAAGGCAGCCCTGTGAAGAGTACATTACAGTTATCCAAATGGGTTGTAATCAATGCATGTATTCTTAACTGTCCTAGTTTTGACTGTGCAAATGCACTTTTGGCCAGTGCTTCAACCTGGGCATCCAGACTCAGGACTGAATCCAAGAGTTCACTCAAGCTGCAAGCCTGAGATTTCAGAGAAAATATAACCTTCTCAAACACAAACTGAATCTCTTTTGGGTTGTTGTAGGTTTTTCCGGGCTATATGGCCATGTTCTGGAGGCAATTTTTCTCCTGACATTTCGCCTGCATCTATGGCAAGCATCCTCAGAGGTAGTGAGGTCTGTTGGAAGTAGGAAAATGGGTTTATATATCTGTGGAATGACCAGGGTGAGACAAAGGACTTTTGTCTGCTGGGGCTAGGTGTGAATGTTTCAGCTGATCACCTTGATTAGCATTCAATGGCTTGGAAGTGCCTGGGGGGAATCTTTTGTTGAGAGTGATTTTTATGTGCCTGTTTGTTTCCCCTCTGTTGTTTTGCTGTTGTAATTTTTGAGTTTTTTAATACTGGTAGCCAGATTTTGTTCATTTTCATGGTTTCTTCCTTTCTGTTGAAATTGTCCACATGCTTGTGGGTTTCAATGGCTTCTCTGTGTAGTCTGACATGGTGGTTGTGAGAGTGGTCCAGCACTTCTGTGTTCTCAAATAATAT